GATCAGGAAAATCCCATGGAAGCCGCTGTTAAATAGAGAATGTTACCTATGCTTTGTCAAACTTGGAGGTCTTGCGAGTGCGACTGTCAGAACAAGGAATGCACAAGGCTTCTGAATTGTATACATCTCTGGGGATTTAAACAGAGGGTGAAGAGTTTTCCTGGTGTTTATTTTGTTTTTCTGAAAAGGGATCAGCCACCATGGGTCCAGCAGAGTCATTGAGCTGCTGACCATGACAGTCATAAAAATAGACCTGTCATTACTTTGTAATTCTAGTGCATACACTTGGCCCCTTATACACATCACAAAAAGAGTGGACTGCATAAAGTGCTGTTTCTGAGCTGTTCCTTAAAGAAAACTGGTTGAATGAAAGACGTCTTTTGCTCATTCAGTCCTGTAGGACTCTTATGCCTCTGGCAGTCTGTTGTCTACAACTTGTTAGATCTCATAGCACAGGGAAGCATAAGCAAGGTTACTTTTTTGGGGGGGGGGTAACAATTATTTTATCTGTTTTACTTTGCTCCACACAGGGCACTGCTTTGTTCTAAGTTTCAGGTTGGAATAGACCTTAAAATGAAAAGCAAGACTTGATAGAAAATAATTTCTCTCATGTTAAGCTTATAGAAGATTACAAATTATCCTGTTCAGAAATGAAACCATGCTGGTTCAAAGCCATGCTGAGTTTTTGGTTAATAACAAAACTTGGGTAGCCTTTCTGTATCTTTGGGAGATCGTTGTAAATCTGTTGCAGAATGCTATTTGGTAGGCATCTGCTTTCTTATAACTTTGGACCCTCTGCACAACAGAGGGAAGAACTGTGCAGAATGGCTAGAATTTTTAAAAGAGGAGATGAGTTTCACAGAGTGATGGTTAAACATTAGATAAAACTCAAGCTGTTCATAGTAAAAGCTTAGTAGAAACCTTTACCTCTGTCTTGCAAAGGAATGTCTCTGGACATTAGTTTGGAATATAACACTCTGGCAAATGGCATGAATTAAGCATGACTGGTCTCAGACTTTCCAAGGATTTTTTTTTCAGTCGTGTAACAAGGATCGATAGGGAAGGACAATATAATACTACTCACGTGCGCCTGAAGTCTTCTGATATGTCTGAAATAGCTTTACAGAATACTCTTACAAAACTGCAAGAAAACAGACTGACACTGAGGTCATAAGTCAAATCAGAGATGCTAGTGCTGTGTTAGACTGTCTTTCCACTTATTTGCTCTTCTGTTCATAAGAGAGGATGAGAAGTCCTGAAGAAAGCACCTCCTATGAATGTGGCTTTATGGCATTGAATGGTGGCACTGATCTTCCTGATCTCTCAGCCAGTGCATAGGAAGTGGAGAATTCACTGGGCTGAGCTCTTCTTTGGGTAAGATATAAAAATAAGATTCAAAGCCCTAAGGTTAGTAAAGATCCCTGTCAACCTTTCAGGGGTGGCTTGGACACCCATATGGTTCTAATGTACTGACCAGCACCAGCAGAATGATTTTTATCATGTCTGTTTTAATTCTTTTAACTGTTTCAACTGGATATCGTATTTCACATCACTTTCTGTTGTAAACAGTCACAAAGTGCTGCTGAAGGTGTGCCTTGGTTTAGCTGTTGAGTAACATCTGGTAACATGGTTATTCAGGCTAAGAGTTTGCAGTTGTTTGTCATCTTTGGAATTGATAGTCTATATTGTGGATAGCAAGTAAATGACTGTTGGTGAGTTGGGAAAAAAAAATTGAATCTGGAATCTAGTGCAGAAAAAGTTGGTCAGGCTGCCTAAAACTGCTCTCAGTGGCTCTCTGTTGGTAAACAGCACCAAACTACAGGCACAGTAAAACGTTACAGAGAGCCGTCTAGTTCCACGGACTCCATGGCTCAAAATCAGTGACTGCATCCTCTTACATAGAGAGAGTTGAAGCATTTTTATGGAGTCACCAAGGTTCATCATCCCTTCGATATCACCTCTATCCACAGCAGCAGCACCTGATAAAGTAATTACTGTGAAGCAAACTAAGCATACACAGATCCCTATGACCAGATGGGATGCATCTGAGGGTGCTGAGAGCTCACTGATAACATGTCAAAGCAGCTCTCCATCCTCTTTGAAAGGTTGTGGGGACTGAGCATGTTCCTGAGGATTGAAAACGGATAAATATGCTTCCAGAAGGGCATCTTCAAGAAGGGCAAAAAGGAGGCTCTGTGGAACTATAGACCGGTCAGTTTAACTTTAGTCCCCAGAAAGGTAATGGGGAAGTTCTGCTTGAAACTCTCTCATGGTACATGAAGAATAAGGTGTTTGGGAACTGTCAGCATGGATGGACCAAAAGCCAGTTGTGCCTGACCAACATGATTGCCTTCTGTGACGAGATGACTGGATCTGCAGATGCAGGGGAAACAGGAGTGTGATTTACCTTGACTTTAGCATGGCCTTTGTCATGGTCTCCAGTACTACCCTTATAGTCAAATTGGAGAGATATGGACTGGATGGGTGGATTGCAGAGCAAGTGGAAAACTGGACTATTGGGCATAAAGGGCTTTAGCAGTTCACAGCCCAATTGACAGACTGTTCATTTCCTCTTCTGTTGATAATTAAGCCTTCCAGTTTTACTGTATTTATCTCCTGAGGCCCAGCGTTAAGTACATACCTTCTCCCTTTTTCTTTCGCCTGCCATTCCTGATCAAATTGTTGTCGTCTTATTGGTATTGTGAGCTGAATCACGAACTGAGGCTCCTAGTTCCTCTGATCATTCTTATACTGCCTGCATTAATTAGTGTATAGAGATCTAAAATGTTTAGTGGATTGAACAGCCCTTTCACTATTATGAGGATTTCCTTTCTCTCTTTTTTTATTTTTTAATTTTATTTTTTACACTCATCAACAGGCTTTTATCTGCAGTGCTCAATTACATGTCCTTTCACTGGGTTTACAAACCTGTGTCTCGGTCTGTTTCCCCCTTCTTTGTGATCTAGACAACATTTCTTCTTGGCTCTTCCTGCTTCAGCAATGCAAAGCTCTTCCCATGATACCATAAGCCATGCCATTATTTCCAGGATGTGTCTATTTCTGCCTCGGCCTTCTCTGTTGACCGGAACAACAGGGGGAAAACACCACCTGAGTGGTGTACCTTTTATCTCAGTCGTACAGCTTTATAGTCATTTCTGACCCGCTGCAAGTCTTTTCTGACTCAAAATGGATGAGGAGCTTGAGGCGGTAACATGGTACCTCCCTGCGGTGTCTGAGATTTGGTCACTGGTAGGCAGCATATTGCTTATGGTTAGATTTGGGAGCTGGATCCTTCCATTTCCCTCATCAGGGAGTCACCAGTCAACACCACCCTCTCTTTCCCATTTGGAAAATGATGGTATATCTTACGCTTGCTGAGGCACGTGGCTTTTTTCTCCTCCATCCTTGTATCACTTCTCCATAAGGTGCCAGCCATGCTCTCGCATGGGATGCAGTACCATTTTTTTCCAGAGCAAATCAGTGCCCAGCTTCTTCCCTGCAGAGAAACCAGCCATACTTGTCCTGCTAGACTGCTTTGATGTCTCCCACTGGCCAGTATCGTTGCCTTTGGGGGTTCCATCGCGTGAAGTTAGTGGAGTCCTGACCTGATTGCTTTTCAGCCTTGTCACCTCCTCCTGGAGCTCTGCCCTCTGCTTTTAATGAGATCCCATTAGTGCTCAGCTCACACTGGATGTCATCCACGTTTTAGTTTTCAGTGACCAAACGTCCTGAAACCGTGCAAGACCTAGGCGGATTCTTCAAACGCTGAGATTCCTGTTATGAGCAGCTCTCACAGGTGTGGACCAAGGCAGAAACAACCATTCCTCTGCTCTAATAATGTGACACTTTAGAGTTACCGTGGTTCCCTTTCTTGGATCCCTGTTACTCTTTTCAGGTCCTGCTTCTAAAACCCCTAATAAAACTCCCTTTTGCTCCCCCACTATTGTATTTGTCCTCCTCTGAACAGTGAGTGAGTACACAAAACTTACTGTGTTTTCAGTTGATCCACGGCCTCAGGCTATGTGGCGTGTTATCTGTTTTGTTTACTGCCAAAAATAAGTATATCTTGTAGTCCACTCCTGATAGCTGTGCAGAGCTAATGTAGTTGTGGGAGAGTCTGCTGTATTCTTTTCTCACTCCCATTTCGTTAACAGAATTGACTTTTAAATTAAAAAAAAAAAAAAATCACACTAGTGGTGTGAATCACTGGAATGCAAGATCTGTTTCAGGAAATAGAAAAATAGCATTTTTACTGGTAAACAGAAAAAAATATGATCTGTGAGTGCAAGTCTACTATGCCGTTTTTGTAGACTGCTTAGAATAGGTTCTTGCCACAAAAAGACAGGGAGTAACGCGCTTGGTTTTACTCACTTGCTATTTAATCACCATTGTAACAACTTTTTCGTGGGAGGTTATATATAAACCTAGTATTGATTTGATGTCTTTGAAAAAGAGTTCCTCTCTTGTGAGGAGCAGTGTGTAACGCTGATAAATGGGCAGCTGCCTGTTCCTGAGTCCCTATGTCACATTTATCTTTTGGCTCTGGGATGAACCCTTGAGAAGCAGATCTGACCCCTCCTGTCACCGCAGCCTGTCCCCTGTACCACCCAACACACACACACACCTCTGATATTTTTCCCTTGTGGCTGGACTCTCCACCCCAGTGACTCCCTAAAACGATGCCCTTTTGCCTCTCTCCTGCAGGAAACTTAATCTCCCCGGTAAGTGACACCCAGAGCTATTTTGGAGCTGGGCTGCGGAGGGAAAGCAAAGCATGTCAGCAATTTGACTGGAGGAGGACAAGGGAGAGGAGGGGTGGGGAGGGGGGGTGGCAGAGCCTAACCCCGCGCAGCAAAGGCACTGCAGGGGGACTTGGGGGGACCTTCTGCTGCACGTCCCTTCCGTCGCTGGGGTTTCTGTTTTATTTTACTGGAGGGGGAAGGGGGGAACTAAAATCAGCATGGTCTTCCCATGTCCTCTGCTCCCCTTTTCCCCCTTCCCCCTTGTGTCATCTCAGTAGGAATCGGCTTTTTCTTACCCTGCTCAGAGCTTTGTTCCTCCTCAGACTCTGACAAGACTCCAGGTAAGCTCTAAACCTTCAGCTACAGATAGGTAGAGCTGGGGACTCCGGTAGCCAAGAGAAAGTGGAGGGAGTTGCTCATGAGTGAGGGAGGAGTGCAGTTATTTCTATGTCAGTGTTACTATGCTGGAATATGTCTTGCCTTGTGAAAGACATTTGAAGATAGACCTGAAAGTATAGAGAGTAATTTTGACCTCCTTCTGGTCTGATCCAAATATGGATTGCTTTGCTTAACTGCTTCTGGACATGTTATCAAAAGAGCAAAGAACAGCTTCCAAAAGAGAGGAGAAGAGAGTAAAAACAGGTTTGCAGTTGATTGTACGTGATTGTTTTTGTCCCCAGATTGTGGATAGCAGGGTGTGAAGAGCCTGAAGGAAAAATGGTTCCTCCAGAGAGGTGGCAGCAAGGAGTGTGTGGGTTTTTTTTGCTGTTGTTTTTAATGTTTTATTTCCAGGGCATAATCTCAGTGCTGCTTTTCTCTTCAGCGAGAACTTTTTTTTCCCTCTGAGCTTCTCCCTACTGCAGTGTCAATGCCAATTCAAACTGCTACCCCCCACCCTCCTCACATTTCTACAAATGGCTCTGACGAGAGATGGGGAGAGATGGAGCTCGACAGCTGAGGCTATTTTCAGCCCTACAGCTCAATGTGGTGGAGTGGCTGTAATGACAATGACATCCACTTGTTAAAATACAAGCATTTAGGCCAGAGCCTTGCAGCTAATTGTCACAGAGGGAGTTCTTCATCCTTCTGGGAGCTGTGATCCTCCAACTGCCTCACACAGGAAATCACACACACTAAAACTCAAGGCAGTGTTACTATCTTAAGATAAACAAGTTTATTTCTCTATTACTGCTGCTGACAAAGGATTTAAGAGTTGAGATTGCTTAGTTCAGTGCTGGCAAGAGTCTGTTTTATTCGTGGCAATGCATGTTTGAGGGAGAGACAGGGCAGGGTTGTGTGCGGAGAGGTAACGTAAATATTAGTATAGCTATATTATAGTAGGGCCAGCCTGATCTTCTGAACCATGAGACCACTGAAGTAAAATAAATCAGTGCAAGGTTTTTTCTGAACCTCTAAAGATCACCTGACTCAAGCTATCAGTCTTTGTAATCTGACAGAGGCACTAGGGTGTACCTAAACCTGGGACTCTGCCGTAGCCACTCACCTCCAGGAGCTATGTTTTAAGCAAAATCCAAATTGTGAAATCTGTGATGAAACCAGCCAGGATTGATAATAGTGACAGCAGTTCCTGCAAACTTTTATTCTGCCCCAGGGTGGCCACCCCAGAATTTGTCTTCACTGTCTGTTCGTATCCTGTCTTCTCAGCCCCACAGACCAGGAATGAGCATTGCTATGTGCATGAGACTTCCCCTGTGTTGTAACCATTATTTACACACTATGAGAGCAGCCATGGTATCTTCAGGTTCAGAAAGCTGATAAAAGGACTAGATCACTTACCATCAGAGGGACTCATCTCAGCAGTCTTAGTCCTTTAGAAGTTTCTGGGGTTGCTTTGTAGCTCCATTGAGGATGAAATCCCAGGTGAAGCCCCTATTCTGGAGCAAAGCCCGAGTAGGAAGAAGTCTGTTCCTTTGCGTGGCAGTTCTTTAAACTATTGATGGGTTAGAAGGAAAGTGAATACTGACCCGGTGGTTAATAGAGGGATGAGTTTTATGAGAAATAGCTCTGTCTCTGCATCTAGCAGGAGAGATAAGTATATGCTTTAACCACGTAATTAGTCTAATTGGTTTAGGTATCCCATGCTTTGTGTGAAGAATATGCTTTCTTACGTGACTGGAAGGGGATCTGAGTGCATTGCTCTATAGTGCACAAAAACCGTGTGAATGACACTTGTTTCCTGCTAGTATTTTCTAATGATTTGTCTGATCTTTTGTATGTTATCAGTCACTGGAAATATTCAAGTTACTGATAAAGGGTTAATACCAAGAGCAGGAGGTGATGAAAGTCCTTTCCTAGATAATTGGTGCATATTTAGCCCTACCCTGAAGGTCATAATTGACAGACTGCTTTGCTTTGAGCTTTAGTCATCTTTTTGCTGAGCGATACTCAAAATTTAACACCGCTTCTTGTTAGCCATTGACCAGCTGCAAAATTTCCCCTAACATCTCTTGTGAACTTTGGCTTACTATGGAGGGAATAGATGAGCCTTATTCTGAAAGTGGTTAGAAGCTTATGCAATAAGGTGAGCTTATTGCAGGTTCACAAGAGTCCTCTGCAGCCAACAGAACTCCTCAAAGTATGCAGACAGATCCCCCAAACTACCCCCAAAAGCTCTTTCATCTGCTCATCAAATGACCTTTGAACATGCCAGAATCTGTTGTTCCTCACTGAAGTGGAATTTAGAGTAGCCCAAGCTAAGCTCAGAGTCTCGCTCTTCAGTGACAGATACACTTCTGCTCTGATAAAATGGGCATCAAATAAACTGCCATCTCAGATTAGTGCATCTGTGCAAATCTCTACTTATGGCTGATTTAGAGATGTAGTGGGCATATAGCACTGGGTGTGCTGGTGTGTGTTTCACCCTTAAAGCATTCTGTCTAGCGTAATGGTTTGTAGGCATCCATCAGTGCCCAAGTGAGTCATCAAGCTTGCAGCTGACGCAGAATACATAAGCTATTTGTTTTTAAAGTTAGTCCATTCCCTGGGAGACTGAGAAGTAATAAGGCAGCTGGATTATTGCAGTTTGCTCTTAGCAGTACTTCTGTGAACATCAAAGGAAATCAGCACTTCCCATTTCAAGATCTGTTAGCTTCCCTTCCCACCCACAGATATTTCGTGCAGTTTCCTGATGTTTTGAGAAGGAACAGGGCACGCAGTTATATCATGTAAACTACAGTAATAAGTGCTGTCTTGATTTTTATCTGAAGCTTTCTGTTTTAGCGATTTTCTCTGAAAGCCCAGGTCCTGGAGTCAGGAGGTTCCCAGACATTCTTACCTTTCATCTTAGAAGGAGGAGGAGGAGTGGAAGTTTGTAGAAATTGTCATTGTGGAAAGTCCAGGAAACATGTACTCTAAAGGCAAGAAAAAGACCCTAAACCAACAGCTGATTTCACAAAATCACAGAATGGTTGAGGTTGGAAGGGACCTCTGGAGATTTGGCAAAGAAAGAAGGAAAGCTAACTGAGAAAATAAGCAAACAGGCATATGACTGATCTTAGGCCTCTAGGAGGTGTCTGAGAGAACCTCATTATTCCTGATTTGTATTTTGTCTTTAGTAGTCTCTTAGATTTAGGCATCTGTCCTCATATGTGCTTTATATCCTCAAAGTTTCTGATTACACAGGTGTGCTACGTGTGGTCATGTTTGTCTTGGGAACATTTTATGAGGTGGATTGCACAGTGTTTTCTGCCCTTTGCCCAAAGTCATGGTGGACAGGATTTCCCTTCTAAACACTGAATGGAAAGGCCTCAGCAGAGAATAACCTGCAACCTCTGTCCTGCCTCATGCCAAAGAGCATCATCACAGGCTGCTGACTGCTACAGCCTTAAAGTAAAGCCTTACAGCTTTAGAGTTGTTTAAGGCTTTGCAAATACTGCTCAAAATTGGTGAAGCGACATGAAACCAACCTGTAGCCACCACAGCACAGTGAATCACAGGGGGTCAAGAGACAGATGGCACTGCCTATACAAGGGGTGACATTTAATAAACAGGGCAGTGCCTTGCTCCATGGGCTAAGAGAATGGATAAGCTTTGTGCAGGAGGAAATCATCCCATGAATGCATCAAAAGTCTTTCTGCAACTCTTGTCAATGGTGCAGGGTGGTAATTTGCCTCGCCTTGAGGCCTGCCGTTGGCCCTGAAGTCAGCAAGGTGGCCCAAGATGAAGTATCTCTTGAACAGTCTCCAGTTGCTTCCACTGCTAGGGGCTTGCTAACTCGCTGTGGGGAAGCAGGTGTAGGGCAGAGACTGAAAGCAGTGCGGAGAGGAGTGAGCAGGAGGCCTTGTCAGTGATTGGAAAGGGTGCTTGCATTTACTAGGCTTATTCATGTTTTATTGTCAGTCTGACCACTTCCAAGATGGCATTTGCAGAGATTTACTTTTTTTTTTTTTTGGAGTTTCTAAGTACCCAAAACAAATCTGAATTAGTGTATTTGCTTACCACGGAATCACAGAATGGATAAGGTTGAAAGGGACCTCTGGACATCATCTAGTCCAACCCTCCAGCAGGGTCATCTAGAGACATTACACAGTATTGTGTCCAGGCGGCTTTTGAATATCTCCAGAGAAGGAGACTCCACAAGCTCTCTGGGCAACCTGTGCCAGTGCTCTGTCACCCTCACAGGGAAGAAGTTTTTCCTCATGTTCAGATGGAACTTCCTG